CATCAGCCAATGCAAAAGGAAAGAATGAAAATCAGAAGAAATCCTATTCACCTTGCCAACATTGTGGAAAGAAGGGTCATCTTCCATTTAGATGCTGGAGAAGACCTGATGCTAAATGCACTAAATGTAATCAGATGGGGCATGAAGCTGTTATCTGCAAAAACAAAATTCTGCAACATGATGAAGATGCAAAGATTACTGATCAAGAGGAGGAAGATCACCTATTTGTAGCAACATGTTTCTCCGGCATCGAATCAAGTGAGAGTTGGCTTATAGATAGTGGTTGTACTAACCACATGACACATAACAAGGATCTATTCAGGGAACTAAGCAATGCAAACTCATCAAAAGTTCGAGTTGGTAATGGCAAGTACATAACTATGAAGGGAAAAGGAACAGTTGCAATTTCAACTTGTTCAGGTACAAAGTTCATTTCTGATGTATTATATGTCCCTGAAATTGATCAAAACTTGTTAAGTGTTGGACAATTAATTGAAAAAGGTTATAAAGTTGTGTTCGAAGATAAAAGTTGCTTGATTAAAAATGCAGTTGGCCAAGATATTTTCAAAGTAAAAATGAAAGGGAAAAGCTTTGCTCTAAATCTATTGGAGGAGGAGCAAACTGTTTTCCCAATCAAAGAAAATATCACTGAAGTATGGCACAAAAGGCTCGAGCACTATCATCATCAGGGGCTGCTGCAGATGAAATCCAAGAATATGATAAATGATTTTCCAGAACTTGATGATCATATTCCAAACTGCAAAGCATGTCAGTTTGGAAAGCAAAGTAGGAAACCATTTCCCAAGGCAACATAGAGAGCATCAAAGAAGTTATAATTAATTCATACTGACATTGCAAGCCTTCAAAGAACGCCTTTTCTGAAAGGTAGTCTTTATTATGTTGCATTCATTGATGATTTCATCCGTATGTGTTGGATCTTCTTTTTAAAGTACAAGTTAGAGGTGGCTCAAGTCTTCTGGAACTTTAAAGCCAGAGTTGAGAATGAGAGTGGCTGTAGAATTCAAACTCTCAGATCAGACAATGGCAAAGAGTACACCTCTGAAGCATTCACTCATTTTTGTGAAGAGGCAGGCATTCAACATCAATTAACCGCTCCATACACTCCACAACAAAATGGAGTAAGTGAGAGACAGAATAGATTCATATTGGAGATGACACGATGTATGCTACATGAGAAGAACCTGCCAAAGCAATTTTGGGCTGAAGCAGTAAATACTGCTATTTTTTTGCAAAACAGGCTTCCCACAAGAGCAGTGAAGGATCAAACACCCTTTGAGGCATGGTATGGTTATAAACCATCTCTGAATTTCCTTAAAATATTTGGATGTTTGTGCTTCACTTATGTTCCACAGACCAAGAAAGATAAATTAGATAAAAGAGCACTTTCAGGCATCTTCATTGGCTACAGCTCAGTTGCAAAAGCTTATAAAGTTTTCCAGCCACAAACTGGAAAAATTATTATAAGCAGGGATGTACACTTTATGAAAGATGAAGAGTGGAACTGGGATGATGCAAAAAAGATGGATCCAACCTTAAAAGAGCACAAGCTCAAGTTTCCTAGCATTGGAGACTGGGAGAATGAAATGGTGGATGATAGTCCTATCAGAGGTACAAGACTACTTTCTGATGTTTATCAAAGATGCAATATTGCTGTGTGTGAACCTACAAATTATGAAGAGGCCAAGACGGATCAAAATTGGATTGCTGCAATGAAGGAGGAGCTATTCATGATTGAAAGGAATGAAACATGGGAGTTGGTTGATCGACCCCAAAACAGAAAAGTAATTGGAGTCAAATGGGTGTACAGAACCAAGCTTAATGCTGATGGCTTAATCAACAAGTATAAAGCTAGACTCGTGGTCAAAGGATATGCTCAAATACTCGGTGTGGACTACTCAGATACCTTCGCACCATTTGCTAGACTTGACACCATCAAGCTCTTACTCGCCGTTGTAGCACAAAAAGAATTGGAAAGTGCACCAATTAGATGTCAAGTCAGCATTCTTGAATGGTTTTCTGCAGGAGGAGATTTATGTAGAACAACCAGAAAGCTATGTTAAGGAAGGAGAAGAAGACAAGGTTTATCTTCTTAAAAAGTCACTTTACGGATTGAAGCAAGCTCCAAGAGCTTGGTACAGCAGGATTGATGAACATTTATAGAACTTGGGATTTGTCAAAAGCTTATCTGAATCAACATTATATGTCAAGCACAATGGAGCTGACATTCTTATCATCTCACTATATGTGGATGACTTACTTGTGACAGGAAACAACACAAGTATTGTGGAGAAGTTTAAGCAAGAGATGATGGAGTTTTTTGAAATGACAGATCTTGGATTGATGACCTTTTTTCTTGGAATGAAAATCAAACAGAATGAACATGAAGTCTTCATCTGTCAGAAGAAATATACCAAGGAGATTTTGAAGAAGTTTAAACTCGAAGAATGTAAAGAAATGAGGACACCAATGAACTCAAAGAAAAAGCTCTGTAAAGAATATGGAACAGAGAAGATTGATCAGGCATATTTCAGAAGCTTGATTGGTTGCTTAATGTTTCTCATAGCAACTCGGCCTGACATTTTGAATGCTGTAAGCATTTTGTCTCAGTTTATGCATTGTGCAAGTGAATGGCATCTCAAGGCTGCAAAGAGGGTGCTTAGATATGTGAAAGGCACAAATGATTTTGGCATTAAATACACAAAGAGCAAAGAGTTCAAGCTGGTTGGTTTCTCAGACAGTGATTGGGGAGGTTCCATTGATGATATGAAGAGCACTTCAGGCTATTGTTTCACACTTGGTTCTGGTGTTTTCTCATGGAGCTCGAAAAAACAAGAAATTGTAGCTCAATCCACATCTGAAGCAGAGTTTATTGCTGCAACAGCTGCTTTTAATCAAGCTTTGTGGCTAAGGAATATTTTAATCGATCTTAACTTAGAGCAAGAGGAAAGCACGAAGATTCTTGTTGACAATCAAGCTGCCATTGCTATCTCTCAAAATCCTGTGTTTCACGGGAAAACTAAACATTTTAATATTAAATTATTCTTCTTAAGGGAAGTACAGAAAGATGGAGCTGTTGTTCTTGTCTACTGCAAAACAAAAGATCAGGTTGCAGATGTTTTCACCAAGCCACTGCCAGTTAGCAAGTTTGAATTTCTAAGGACAAAACTTGGTGGTTGCAGCTCCTAAAGCAAGGAGGAGTGTTAGAAGATGTGTTTAGGACTGCTAATGTGGATTCATTGAATGTTTCATGTTGTTCCTGTTTTTCTGGTGTTGGTTATTTTTTTGTTATTCATGTTGGTGGTCATGGCTTAATCTTAGGATTATGATTTTAGTGGGTAGTTATTAATTAGGCTTTAAATTGTAATGTTTCTGATGTTAAGTAATACAACAGTGAGTAAAGTTTTCTTTGCTTCAAAAATAACAACAGTTTGCAATCACAAGAAAAATGCAGATTATACCATAAGTCTAACAATTACTCCATTTACCAGGATGATGATTGCAACTTATATCATCTAACTGTTGGGATTCTAGTACTTTTAGGAGTGGTTTTCTACAGATAATTGTTTTCGATTACTCCATAGCTGAAAGATTTTTGCAATGAGAAGGGCATACATTACTTTGTAATTACGGTTTGTTTATTTCCTCTGTATCTTGTATACAGTGGGGAGGACTAAGGAAATAGACCTGTGCTGACAGGCAGTCTATTGAACTCTTCAGCAACAGTTATACACAAAATTAAATCCATCATATGTCTCAGCACGGTTCCTCTTCTGTTCATCCACCTCAACCTCTAATTGTAAGATCCTTGCATCTATGCTCTGGAGCAGTAGGCGTCCTATCAAACCAAAGTAAGCTTGGGCAATTTTCTTCAAATGTTCCATCGCAAATCTCATATTGAAATTAATGCGTAGTGCATCCTTTGTTGTGTTCCAGCACCTAAATATTTTCTTTTCAGTAACTTGCTCAAGTTGTAGATCATCCATCTCTTTGATTGTAGGTCACAGCAGCACAGGGATTTATTAGACTAGTTGCAGAAACATCACCAAATACATCATTGATTCTCTCAACGGTAGCAATAAGAGACACTGGGAAACTGTATCTCCCAACTGTTGCACATCATTAAAAAGTTCCTTGAAGTTTTTATGTACCTGCAATGCCACCAAAGAGACTTAGAGACATATGTATACCACATATATGTTTTTTTCCCTATTTTGTTTATAAGTATGTACGGTATAAATTTCTGATAATTGGTTTAGTCACTTTCTTGAGGTGAAAGAAGCTAGGAAACAAAAGCCTTGTGCAGCGATTATATTAGTCTAAATGAACTATTAATGAGGAAAAAAATAGTAGAGAGCGAAAAGCTTACAACTAAATGTCACATGTTATCAGATTCACATGTTGCTAAGAGTTAAGAACATCCAGCGGCATCCCTATCTTCTAAAGAATCAAATCTTCCTATTACAATCACTAATGCTATCTGTCAGAATCAGCCTCTTCATCTGTGACCTCGTGACAACTCCCTTTTAACTTTCCCTGCTATTTACTATCTTCTTTCTCATTAACCACATCAAGCAAAAGGAAATGACAGAATCCATAAAAAATGTTTTCCACGCTACAAGTCTTGTGCTTCAAGTGATGACGGCGGGTATTGGATTTAAAGCTAGAAAGCCGGCAAAAAAATATAAGGATATGGCATATAAAAAATAGATCCTCAATTTGTCATTGACATCTTTAAGTTTGTGAGAATGATCTTCTTCATCGAGAGGCTTACAAAATGCCTATTGAAACTTAGCTTCATGATCACGATAATAGAGCCTTAATTTGTCATAGCCATTTAACCTCATAGAAAAACTTTACTAGGAAAAACGAGTAAAAATAATTGAGAGAAAGACATTTCTATTTCATTACCTCTTGGTTTAGTCGATACTGCGCATCACTGTCTTTAGTTTTCTCTTTTCGGAGCGTCATTCATTTTGTCTCTACGACCTCTTGTTCTTCATTGATGTGAAGCTTCTGATAGTTCCCCTTGACTCAACTGGTGCATACTGCTGAAAGTTCCTTGGATCAGCATGCATAATTTGGTCATGTAGTCCCATTTGTGAGGATAAATAGGAACTTGTAGCTTCTGATGTAGTATCCACCATATTCCCGATGCCAAATTTGTCTTTGCAGTTTGCGGATTGACAGATTCTAGTTGATCTGGACAATTAAATGATATAATAATATTAACCGCAAAGACGTGAATAATTAAACCATAGGTTATGAATCACAATACAAATGATAAGGTATGAATCACAATACAAATGATAAGGAAAACATTCCATTCAACTTAATGGGATACGAAAGCATATAAAATCTTGTTTGAAGAACATAAAAAGCGGATTAGTCAACTTTAACCAAAACAGAGGGAAAGGGGAACATACACATAGATTGAGCCTCTCCCTCCAAGAATCTTCAATGAATCCCGGATGAAGAATAGACAAATCAAAAACTAAAAATAAGAGCTGAACATTTCACTTGGCTTAGATCAATGATAGGACGAGGCAAATACAATCTGGGAAATTTTAGGCGTTGTCCAAATTTATTCGTAACTGTTGCAAACATGTCTTTTACATCTTGCAGGAAATCAATTTTGTATATACTGGTCAGTTGGTTAACCTATCCGGCCCCTAACCTTTCACAACCTACTGATGACAGTAATCTTACATAATATCCATAAGGGAGTGGTTGGCCTGAGAATTTAGCCTCAAGATATCAAAGGCAACAACAATTGGACCATTAATTCAGGGAATCTAAACAAATGTTAGAAATCCGACATTTATAGTGTAAGCAAATTAATTATTTACTTAATCTCGATAATCAAATTGAGTAAAGATCCATACCTTGTTCTTAGCTTGGCGCTGCAATTGCTTTAACTCATTTTCTAAAGCTGAATGATTCAGAAATTTTAATTGCCAAAAATAATATACAACTACATTTCCAGATAAACGAAATTGAAATATGTAACTTAAAACTTATTTTGATAGGTAAATATTTTACTTAACTAGAGAGAAGAAGGGGAAAATCTTTCTGAAGGCAGAAGTACAGCTAATCATCAGTAAAAGATAAAAACAACTTACAACATAAAAGACACAACCAAGTAAACAGACATCACCATTTTGACAAATAAGAAAGTAATTCAATCTCTCAACGCTGATATAAACTGGAATTGATTGCACAGTCCGCTGCTTGGTTTTTGCTTCTGAATCTCGGTTTTGGTTTGCAATGAACTTTCAATTGCAGAGAACAGTGAATGCAGCTGCGAGAACCCAATGCTTGAGAGCAATTGAGAGAGCAAAGAGGGAAAATTAGTTTCTTGCATGCATTTTCTATTTATTTTAACAGTTTTAAGAATTTTATAGCACAAGATTGAAGAGATGGGTTTAGGGTCTTATAATTATGTACTTGGGTTTATAGCACAGGATTGAAGAGATAAAATTTGTCTAAATCTAACAATAAAACGTGCCAAATCATCGCTGAATTGAATAGAAAATGAAGAGTGAATTAATAATGACAAGCTAACACATTTCATACCGTATTAAACTTGCTCAATGCTGATTAGAAACTTATGTTTGATTTTCTTGAGCATAGTCACAACATCTGCCATATTGTTTCTATCCTCAGGTAACTCAGCTGAACATTTCAAAGCTAACTCCATGATGGATGATATACAATTTGCTTTAATAATGAAATATTCATCCTCTCTTCTTAATAAAGTGGCATCTGCAATATCAATCATTCCTTTAGATAAGGATCTTTTCATCCAATGCCTCATAGTCATTGTTTCACTAAAAATTTCATCCGTTGGCTTCTTTTTGTAAAAGTTTCTATTAAAAGAATCCCGTAACTATAGATGTCACATTTTATGGAAACAATTCCTGCTGATCCAAATTCTGCATTTCAAGTATAATCGAAAGTATTATTGATCATTAACTAATTCTAAAAAGATTGTCTAACTTTATCATGTAAAATCCTGAATATGAAAAAATTGTAAAGAAAAAAAGAGAGAAAATAACCATAAGTAGTCGAAAGATCACCTGGTGCCATAATATCCAATAGTTGCAAGTGTCATGGTTTGTCTCATGAAATCATCTTCTTCTAATAGTTTGGCAATGCCAAAATCTCCCAAATGCGCAACCATGTCTTCATCTAGTAGAATATTACTTGGCTTTAGGTCACAATGGATTATAGGAGTTGGTTGTCCAGCATGAAGGTATTCTAGAGCTGATGCAACATCTATCATTATATTGATCCTTTGTAAGATATCAAGAAAATAATGTTCAGAATGTAGCCATTTTTCAAGACTTCCATTAGGCATGAAATCAAGCACCAAGGCTTTGAATTCCACATTGGAGCAGCAAGTAATGACCTTGACAAGATTGCGATGGACTATATTACGCATAGCTTCACATTCAGTGTCGAAACTCCTAAATGCTCCCTCTATCTGCAAATTGAAAACTTTTATTGCAACATTCATCCCATCTGAAAGCCTCCCTTTATATACAGATCCAAAACTCCCTGAACCAAGAAAGTTGCATTCTCCAAATCCATCTGTTGCTTGTGAAAGTTCAGCATATGAAATTCTTCTCCATGTTTTCAAAGATAACAAATCTTCCTTAACAGGTAGAGTTATACTCCTACTTTGGCGTTTTCTGTATATAATAGTAAAAACTATTGTTACTACAATAGTAGCAATTGATGGTAAACCATACCTTAAAACACGCAGTATGGTCAACTTGGAATTTCTGTGGATGCTACTCTTGCAAGGTGGGACTAGCAATCTAGATGGACCACAAAGTGCATAATTTTTCATGAATGATCCATAGGAAAAGTTTTGAAAACATCGTCCAGTGGGGATTTCTCCTTCCAATCTATTGTAGGAAACATTAAAATATTTTAGATTCGAAAGCTTTTCCAATGATTTGGGAATAACTCCAGAGAGATTGTTATTGCATAAATCCAAGAATTCCAAACTAATCAAGCCACCAAATGACTCAGGAATATGACCATGAAACTTGTTATTAGATAAATCTAAAGAAACCAATGTTTCAGGGCCCCCAATTGTAGACACCATATCACTCATTAGTAGATTCTTTGACAAATTCAAATACATTAGTGCCCTTAAATGTCCGATATCAAGTGGCTGTGAGCCGCTAAAGTAGTTTGACGACAAATCTATTTCTAAGATATCTTTAAGGCTCCACAAGGTTGAGGGTATTGCATAACTCAATTTGTTGGATCCCAAGTAAAGACTTCTTAAAGAAGTCAAATTACCCAAACAAGCAGGCATAGGTCCACTGAGCTTATTAAAAGATAAGTTCAGTGTATATAATCTCTCCAAACCACAGATTTTTTCAGGGATGGGCCCTTGTAACTCGTTAGTCTCAAGAGTCAAACTTTGGACATTTCGTAGTCCTCCTATTGTCGCTGGAATAGATCCACTTATTTTATTAATGCTAAGGTCTAAGAGAAAAATGTTGCTTAAGTTAGCGACTTCCAGTGGAATATTACCTTGAAGCTCACAATCAGAAGCTAAAAGTTCTTGAAGAGTTGTTGAAAGATTCCCAATGTTAGTTGGAAGAATCCCATTCAATGGATTTAGTGAAACATCTAGAACACTCAAATTCTTGCAATTTGCCAAAGAAGAGAGAAAGCTCCACTCGTGAGTGGCAGGTTCTGTGATAAAATGATTATCCGTAATTTGAAACCACTCAAGATGTCTTAAGTTGCCAAGAGTATTTGGAATAAGGCCAGAGAATGAGTTATATGCTACGTCAAGGATCCTGAGCATGGAAGCATTAGAGATGGAGTTGAGAATGTTTCCGCTAAGATTATTTCCCCACAGAATGAGCGCTTCAAGTTTTTGAAGCCTAGCCATGGGTGGTAAGTTACCTGTTAAAAAACTAAATCTTTTAGTATTTTGTGCTTACCACAATTTTGTCAAACAGAGTAAATTTGATAAGATAAAAACTAAAATTGAAAAAAAAAATTTGAAAGAAAAATATTGTAATGTTTGTAATTTATGTTTATTTTCATAGAAAATTTTGTACAAAGAAATCAACCACCAATCCAATAAATTTTATTTTTAAATTTAAATAGAAAGATCATCTTTGTTTTAGAAGTGAAATATATTACTATCATCAAGCTAATAAACACACATCACCAATTGAATGGTGTCGAAGAAGAGATTGAAATTCATATTTCATATAATAATATAAAATTTAAATTGTAAAAATAAATGAAAAGAGATTAAATCCATAGTATTTCTAGGATCTTTCAAATTTCAAAATTCATTTAGGTCCAATAAGGCATGTAATTGAATTTTGAAGTAACCCATTTAAATCAACATTTTTACTTAAGGGCAACAATTGCTTTAGGTTTTAATTTACCAATTGGTCTTGATTCAGATTAGGCTCATTTTCTCTTTCTTCATTTTATTTTATTTTAGAAATTAAAAAATTTAAAAAGGAAAAAAATAAAAAATCTAATTTCCTTTCTTTATCTTTTTATTCTATTTTTATATTTTATTCATTTATCTTTATTTTTTATTTTATTATTCACTTTATTTTATTTATCTGTCTTTATCTTTTTATTTTTACAATTTATTTTATTTATCTATCTTTTTTTTTTACATTTTCTTTATTTATTGTTTTCAATTTTTTATCTTTTGTGTTGTTATTTTTGAAAAAATTCGGAATGAAAAATAAAAAAAAAATGAAAACAAGTTTTAATTGGATAAAAATAGGTGATTAAGCTTAGAAAGATGATGACACATATCATCAAGCAATCTACCTGTTAAACTATTATTACGTAGATCAATAGTGGTCAGAGAAGAAATGTTGAAGATGGACGCTGGAATCCGACCAGTAAGGCCCATTTCTCCCAAACCTAGTATCTCTAAAATAAAAAGATTACCAATTTCCTCGGGAATTTCACCTGCAAATAAGAAAAACAATCAAGGTGTTAGCTTGACTGCCTATTTTGTTTAATTATTTTAGTATAATTGGTTTAGAAATTAAATATTTTGCATTGAAAAATGAAAAAATGAAAAAAAGAAAATAAAATGCGTTTAGACTAAAGAAATCAATTAAAGCTCACCTTCTGAGTTATTTACACTCAAATATATTGTCTTTGAGTTGGTGTTAAATTTCCAGATTACTAGACATGTTAATTTTTGAAGCTTGCTGCACTTTGCACTATACTCGATGGAATATATCTGAATAATTCATTTATGAACAAGTTAAGCCCACTTCAAGTTTGGGAAGATGGATACACAAATCATCTAGCAAACAACCAGAAAACATTATGTTGGAGATAAAAATCTCTTTCAAAGGGGAATCTTGAAGATGAAAATGGAATTGACCCGGATAGTTGATTGTATCCTAACTACAAAATCTCTACGTTGGGACATGTTAATAAGTTTTTGAAGGAATTGTGCTTGTAAAATCATTATTTCTCTTACCCAAGCCGTTGGACTTGTGTGTGGAGCCGAGCCAAGCCATTTTGTAAGCCATTGAATCAAAACCAGTTTTGGTAATTATTTATTTATTTATTTTATTTGTTTAAAATAAGAAATTATTTTTTAAGGATTAAAAAATTAAATTTATAAGAATATATCAAACTATTCAAGGATTTTGATTGATAAAAAAATTATAAATAAATTTAAGAAAATCTTACCACACTAAGGATCTTATTGAAAAATGAAATTTTAATTAATTATTGGAAGATTTAAAAAATTTTAAAAATAATTTGCCAAAATTAAAACTATTGCAGGATTTTTATAAATTTAAAAAAAAATTAAAATAAATTTAAGAATTCCTGCCAAACTAATGGATAATTTTATTTTGAAAAATAAAATTTTGTCAAACTATTAAAGAATTTTCATAGATTTAAGGAAAAATTTTAAAATATGTTTAAAAAATCTTACTAAACTATTAAAGGATCTTATTTGAAAAATAAAGTTTTACAAAACTATTTGAGTATTTCATGAATTAAAAAAAAAAAAAAGAAACTAAACCTTATCAAACTATTTGAAAATTTTATTTGGGAAATAAAATCCTACTAATATATTTGAAGGATTTTATTGATTGAAAAAATAAAATTTTGAGAATAAAATCTGATGACGGAGCCTTTTTAGGAGTGACAGTAATCTTTTTGAATACTCATGATGTTAGAAAATATTTTTAAATTGCAACTAAACAATTGAAGTAAGGAAATTTTTTGGAAATTATAATTTTCAATTTAAGGATTTTTTTTAAAGATAATTTTAAAAGTTTAATAGATAAAACAAAATCAACTAGGATCATCATTTGGATAGGAGTTATAGGGATCTATAACATTTCTTACATATAAACATACTACCGAAATGACTTTGGTTTCATAAATTAAAATCTACATTTTTAAAAACTTGAGTTAAGATTAGATATCTCTTTAAAAAGAATAAGATTAATTAGGTAACCAACACATCTAAATAAAAAAGATTAGTGGTAATTTTTGTATTTTGTTTAGTGATTAAGTTTACGAACTTGTACATTATAATACATATTTTTGTCATATATAAAAGATTAATTTCATATTTTAACAATAATTTTTTTGTTTAGAATTACAGTATAAGGTATCTTCAAATTTTGTTAAGATTTAATTTCTTTTTTAAACATCTTAATGGTGCATTTTCCTTATTGATTTGTTACATTCAAGACTTTATTTTTGAAATGTTCCCCACAAGAATTGAACTTAGGATAGTGTAAAATTGAAACTCATTTCTTTACCAATTGAACTAACTCTTTATGGGTTAATTATAGCTTAATTATTCATTCAATTATATTATCAACTCATATAACAATATGCATAATTGATAATCCTAAATACTAGTTCATCAAGAAAAAATGAATTTAGAGTTTAATATAATTGACTCATAAAATATTTTTAAAACCAAACATCTAGTAAGTTGAAATTTGAACTCCAATACTTATAATATTTTTTCTTATTTTAGGACAACAATGTCCTATATTAAAAAAAGACAAAAGTACAAAAATCAGGCCTTTTGAAAGCCTACATTTTACTTCAAGATTTACTTAAAAGATCTTGGTACTTTGCAAAAATAATAATTAAATATGATAATTTAAAATATAACATGATAATACAATACAAATAAAAAACATGAGGATGACAGGATTTAAAATTTTAACAAAAATCATAAATGAATTTGACAAAACAAAAAAATTGTATTTATAATTTATAAATCGACATAAATTATAACACAATTTATTTTTATGATATGAATATAAGAATTTTCAACCCTACAGTATTTCATTTTTTTTCCCATATTCACTGTTTCTTAGTTTTTGGCCTTTGGGTACAGGCCGTGTAGCAGAAAGGCGACAAGCTACAATTACCACCTTGTAACTCGGAAGTGTTGCTTGGAAGGAGAGAAAGTAATGATATGGGCAATGGAAAACAAGATGGAATTAGAGGGGTGTCAGAGAGTGGAAGGGAATCCCAGGGATCACCTAGGCCTATTAGATAAGGCCGCATCAATAGTGTGGAGAAAATGGGCCTGGCGAAGTCGTGAAAGAGAGTGACCGGTTTAATGATGCAAAGGAAGTAAGCCCATTAAAAGTTGAAGAAACAGAAGCATTGAGGGCTGGGAAGTGAACTTCCGGGATTCAGAGAAAGGCAAAAAGGTGGAAATTCAATGAGGATATAGAGGAGAAATTAATAGGAAGGGTGAACAAAAAGGGGAAAAGAACAGTTAAAAAAAATAGAAGGGAGGCATAAATCTCTGCAGTAACCGAAAAATCTGATAAGATTGCAAACGGTTCCATCTCAGACGGGGATTTTCGGAGTCGAAATAGAGTGTTATCTAGAGTTTGGGAAGAGCCAGAAGAGTGGAGGGAAGCGGAAGCTACTTGGGAGGTGGCCAAAAAACTGGGTATCGTGGCCAGAGGAGACAAGCAAGCGGTAATTCGAAAGATGTACAAGTTGGAAGGCAAGAATGATGTGTACAGGGGATGAGGAAACTAATTTATCAAAGGAAACGGAGGACATCTGGAGGCGGGCAAGTCGGGGAGGAGGTCTTGGTCGCGATACTATTGTATCTAAGTCTTTTTGTTTTATTCGTTGGTTGGTGGTTTAATTTATTGAGTTGTTATGAAGAATTTGTTAGTGGGGTGGTTGGTTACTCATGGGATTTCTGTGTGAATTGACAGTGTTAAAATGAAGGTGAAGTTGTCAAATGTTGGCGGTACGTGTGGAGTTACGATAGCCCAAACAGTGAGGAAACTAATTACAACTCAAATTGGTGAAAAGGTACTCAGAAATCGGTTACCTGTGATCTTAGGAGATTATGGCCTTGTAAGATTTTTGAGTGGGTTTATTGCCTAGCCGATGGGATAGGTGATAGGGCTCTAATCGTTTGGAAAAATATTAATAAAGGAAAGAAAAAAAATTTAAAGGAGAAAAAAGAGCACATGTATTTTTTATTTGAATAATTAAAATTTAATATTATTGTTTAAATAAATAGTAAAAAAAATTTATTATAATATTTTTTTAATAAAGTAACATATGATATACAAAATATATTTTTCTATTTTTATTACTTTTCTTTATTTTCCTTTTCTTTCCTTTCCTTCTCCTCTCCACAATCTATGCATAGTGTAGAAGATAAGTTATTGAAGGCTATTTTAAGGGGGTTTAAGCCAAAGATAGTAAGGTCAACGAGATTTAATTTCAATCATTCTTATTTAAGAAAAAATGCATCATTTACGTTGAACTTATATTATGTTTTTTTTAATTAATTTTTAAACTTTTATTAATGTAAAATACTTTAAAATGATCAAACAGTATATGCAAATAAAAAATATATAATAATAGATTGACACTAAAAATTTTCTAATTCTAATTGCTAAAATTGTGAACTAAAAAAGGAAAACAAATTTAATAAAATGTTTTTTGACTTGAGAGAAAATTGAAGCCAAAGGCATACCTTCTAAATTATTTTCAACTGTATGTATTTCTTTGAGCATGTTTAAATTCAAAATACATTTTATAGCACTAGTCTTCAACTATATATATTTTTTGGACTAAATTAATTCAATTTTTATACCTCAAAAAAAAAAAAATTTAGCTAGTTTATGATAGCGAAGAGAGGCTGAAGATAGGTTGCAATCATACAAATAAAAAATATTCTAGCGCTGAGTCTTATTAAGTTAATTTTGGCACTAAAAAATTCTAACGAAAAAATCTATGTGGAACCAAATAACTCTAAAAAGATTATGAACTAAAATAAAAAAAATTAATAAATAGAATGCTTTTAACATAGAAAAAAATCAAAGGCAAAAGCATACCTTCAAATTTGTTTTCACCTAGATATACTTCTTTGAGCACGGTTAAATTCCCAATACTTTTTGGAATGAGCCCTGTGAATTGATTTATAGATAATATCAAACTTTGCAGATTGCAGCATTTGCTTATATGACAGAATATTATAGATGATAGAAAAAATAAAATCAAAGGCAAAAGCATACCTCCCAATCTGTTTTCATCTAGAGATAGTTCTTTGAGCACGGTTAAATTCCCAATACTTTTTGGAATGAGCCCTGTGAATTGATTTATAGATAATATCAAACTTTGCAGATTGTAGCATTTGCCTATATGATGGAATATTACCAGATAATTGATTCTTAGCTAAGCAAAGCCCCTTAAGCTTAGGAAGATGATGATACATATAATCAGGCAATTTACCTGATAAACTATTGTTTTGTAGAGCAACAATGGTCAGAAAAGAAATGTTGAAGATGGAAGCTGGAATCTTACCAGTAAGGCTCATCCTTGCTGCTCTTAATATCTCTAAACTAAAAAGATTACCAATTTCCTCAGGAATTTCACCTGTAAACAAGGTAAATAATCAAAGTGTTAGCTTGACTGCATATTTTTGTTTAATTATTTCAGTATATTAGTTTAGAAAATTAAAAATTTTGCATTGAAAAAATGAAAAAGGAATGAAAATGTGTTTAGACTAAAGAAATCAAATTAAAGCTTACCTTCTAAGCTATTTTTACCCAAATATACTCCTTTGAGTTGCGTTAAATTTCCAATACTTTTTGGAATGAGCCCTGTGAATTGATTTATAGATAATTCCAAAATCTGCAAATTACAGCATTTGCCTATACTTGATGGAATATTACCAGATAATTGATTCTCAGCTAAGTAAAGCCCCTTAAGCTTAGGAAGATGATGACACATATAATCAGGCAATCTACCTGATAAACTATTATTTGTTAGAGAAACAATGGTCAGAGAAGAAATGTTGAAGATGGAAGCTGGAATCTTACCAGTAAGGCCCATAGTTGATGCACTTAATATCTCTAAACTATAAAGATTACCAATTTCCTTAGGAATTTCACCTGCAAACAAGGTAAATAATCAAAGTGCTAGCTCGACTACCTATTTTTGTTTAATTATTTCAGTATATTAGTTTAGAAAATTAAAAATTTTGCATTGAAAAAATGAAAAAGGAATGAAAATGTGTTTAGACTAAAGAAATCAAATTAAAGCTTACCTTCTAAGTTATTTTTACCCAAATATACTCCTTTGAGTTGTGTTAAATTTCCAATATTTCTTGGAATGAACCCATTGAATTCATTATTAGACAAAGCTAATTGTTGAAGCTTGCTGCATGTGCCTATACTTGATGGCATATAACCGGATAATTCATTTATGAACAAGTAAAGCACTTCAAGTTTAGGAAGATGGACACATAAATCATCTGGCAAACTACCAGAAAGACTATTATGTTGGAGATGAATCTCTTTCAAAGAGGAAATCTTGAAGATGGAAGATGGAATCTGACCGGATAGTTGATTGTTCGCCAAGTGCAAGATCTCTAGGTTGGACATGTTAACAAGTGTTTGAGGAATTGTGCCTGTAAATTTATTATTTCTCATTTTCAACTGTTCAACTCTATGTAATTTCCCAAGCCATGATGGAATTCCCCCATTCAAGCTGTTGAAGCTTAAGCGAATGAGCCTCAAACGATGCAATTGCCCCATTTCTTTAGGTAGATTGCCATAGAAATTGTTGCTGCTCAAGTCGAGAGAGAGTAGAAATGAGAGATTTCCAAGGTTAGGAGGGATTGTTCCTGTAAGACTCATGTTTGGGAGAGTCAAGGATGTGACCCTTCCATGTCTGACACCACAAGAAACACCGAACCAGTTACAAACAGAGTTGGAGGCTGTCCAATTGTCTGCTAAGACATTGTGAGGATCAAGGATATGGTGTTTAAACTCGAGAAGAGCAAACCGATCAGTGGTGAGATTCCTCACACTCATAGCTAAACAAGCCATGAAACATTGCATAAAGAAAAATGAAAGAAAATGGAAGTAAGTGTTGTTCATGATTGTAGGATGCGTATCAAGAAAAGAGTTCGAAAAAGGAAACTAATGTGATGAAATCGGTAGCTATAGGATGATCGAGGAAGAGGCCATAAACCTTGCTTAAATAGGGTTTGCAAGTCTAGTTCTTCAAAATCAATTCATGTGTGAAATTGAATTCACGAGTCTAGGTCCTTAGAAAAAGTGAAAACAATCACAAAATACAAAACAATGCGCAACACATGTTTAGTCGTTAATATTTAAAATTATTTAAATTATATTTTATATTAAATTTAAAATGTTTATTTGGAAAAGAAGCAAAATTCCTTTCTTTTTTTTTTTTCAATGGGAAAGAAGGGGATGATCAAAGGAAAAGCCAACTGAGCATGCTTGAAACGGTTATCATATGACATTGATAACACTAAGTCTTCTATGACGAGACCAAAATCTTTCTTTTTCAAAAAACTTTATTAAATTTCTTTTAAGACTTATCATTGGGGTTTATAATTTACTTTAGTTATTGACTCACTTTTCCGCAATCAATGGGATTGATTGGAAATTAAATATACTTTCAGTAAGGGATTTACACTGGCTTTCCTCTCCTGCCTAGTTCTTTCGTCCTTTAAGCACTTTCTTTTGTCTTTTCATTTTGATTGAATGACGGAATTAAATTAAAATAAATTGCATCATTAGTTTTAATTAGTCTTTTGTAATGCTTCATTTCATATGTGACCTAAAAAACTTGATTTATATAAAATATTATTTTTGCTTCAATCAATTTTGTTATTCCATACTTTGGGCTATTTATAACATGTCCTAAAAAATTAATAGAATAAAATACTCAATTTTATCTCTCAAAAATATTAGTCCAAAATTAATATATTGTCGATATTTAAATTTTAGAAATATATTTATATTAATCTTGGAAGTGTTGATCACGTTTTAAAAAGAACATCTAAGTTGATGGAATTAATTGGATTTCATAGTGAGGGTATATGTTGATTGAAAATATTCTTCACCTTTAAAAGAATTTCCATAAAAAATCATGAGTTTTTTTGGCATACCAAGAATGGAACCTAGTGCAACTAGGTATAATAATAATAATAATAATAATAATAAACAATGGCTATCTTAATTCACTAGTATAGTTTTAAATTTTGAAAAATAGTAAATGAGATCATATTTCATATGTAGAGTTCAATTCTCAAATTTAGAGATTGCTTAATTATTTTATACAATCAACTTTAAGAAGTGGTATTTAAAAATTTTATAATTCAAACCTCAGTATCTATAATATTTTTTTTATTTACAATCTCCTTTATTAAAAAAAAAAAGAAAATTTCAAAACCTGGAAATTAATGTTTGAAATGAAATGAACCAAGTTAAATGGACTTTCATTCAGCAACCAAATTAGTAAAGATTAATAATAGTGCCAAAACATATATGGAACCTAATTATTTATTGTTAGAATTGGTTTGCTGCATATTAAGACTCATGAAAAATCATTTCAATTTCAACCATTCGATGATATATCGTGCAACAAGCCTCACCTCGTCATTTCAGAGGAGCTCAGAAAGAGGGAGAAAGATAGAGAGAGAGAAGATAAAAATGAGAGAAAAAAATTTGGTTTTTATAGAAGCTTGAAAACCAAAACGATGTCGTTTTAGCTCAATAGGATCTGTGCGTCGACCCACAACCTAACTTGAGGCTCGCACACTCAACCCGGCTACTTGTCTTTTGTTTGACTCTTGACTGGTCCAATTAAACCGCTTAGACTAGACCAAACCGATGCCAAACCACCGAATCGACCAAACTAGCCCAAACTTATGTTGATCGGACTGTTGACCAAATCAGTTCAGGTAAAAAAATATTTTTTTTTTGAATTTTTTACATATATTATTTTTATTATTGTAAATTTTATTATTAATATTTAGGCATGTTAAAAAGTTTAAATTTGTTAGAATAAAATTTTGTTGAAATAATAAATAATGAAATATATAGTTTAAATTTTTGATAATTATATTAATTTTTGTAAACAAACCTTATAAATAATTTTAAAATAATAAAAAATGTAAGAAAAAAAGAAAAATTTATCCAATGATGAGATTCAACGGTACTCCGAGTAGTGGTATTTATGAAATCTCTATGTGAGTATTTATAAAAGGTTTTCAATACAATAAAGTTTTTTTATTATAAAATAGTAAATAAAAATTAACCAATAAATTAAAAATAAAAGTGACAAAAAATAAGGAAAAATGAAATTTTATCTGATGACAAAATTCTAAAAGTATTCCGAGTAGAGATGCTTTAAGACATCCTTAGGTGAGAAGATTTTTTTAAATATTACCAATATATTGGAATAATCATAAAAAATCTTCAATATAATAAAAATTACTCTTTTCTTAAAAATAAAAAGATTTAAAAAATAATAAAAATCAATTAAAATTTCTAAAGAAGAAAATAAAATATGTGTATTAACATATTAGCATTTTGCATTACATGCACAATATAGTTTTTTTATGAAAAATAAATCGGAGTCTTCGAAAATAAGACTCTAAGTTATTTCAAGAAGTGATGGCTTAAAAATCTTTAGGTGAGAAAACGTTCTTCTAATGTTACCAATGTACTAAAACATTTTGAAGAATTATTTTAATTAAAAAGTTCTAATTTATTTGAATAAAAATGAAACAAAAAAATAAAAGATAAAAAAAATCAAAATTTCAATAATCAAAGGAAGTCAAGGAAGTTATTTTTCAAACAAAAAAAATAAGATTGTTTTCATCAAAATCAATAGATAATACGTAATTAATTGGTACCATTTTAAACGTGCATTATGAGGGTGCCAATCCTTCTTTACATGTAATTGACTCATGGATCTAATCTGGTTTTTGTAGATTGAAATTTATCTTTTTGATAAGCTTAAACCCATTTCTTATAGTTTTATTATAAATTTTTGGGTGATCAATCACACCATAAAAAAGATTGGTTGCGACTCCTTCCATTTTTCTTGATTTTAAAATTTTTTATGTTGGACGGATACAAAACCGTTACTACATGGGTTTACATTTTACTTGGATTATTGACTTACTTTTCTGCAATTGATTTGGAAAGGCTATCCCATCAATTGGTTGATTGGAAATTAAATGTATTTTGAGTAAGGGATTTTACACAGGGTTTCTTCCCACTTCTTTCATGCCCATATAATTGAATTTCAATGAATTTTCTTTTATCCATTTCACCTTTTGTCGCTTGAAGTTGGTGTTGAATGTTTATTTATTTATTAATTATTGAAAATTTAAAGTTAAACTTATTCATAACTAAATTTTGATTATGAAATTTGAGTGAAACACGCCTAAAGTAAAAAACTATATTTTTAACTACAAAATTATAGAATTTTATTTTATATTTATCTAGCTAAATCCTCATTCATTCATTGATTTTTTCTTAAATCATAATCCCAATTCTTTATCATGATTTTTAAAAAATTTTTATAAGGCTATTATTACTATCATAATACACAAAACTTACATGAAGTTCTTTAGTGATGTTTGTGAAATTTTTTCTTAAAAATAATTTAATAAAAACTTTAATATAAAATTCAAACCGATAGATTGAGAGAGTTTAATGTGAAAATTAATAATATGTAAAAAAATTTAAAATATTATTTATAATTTAAATTTAATTGGTACTTATTTAGTGTTAAAAGTTGTCAACATTTTTATTAAAAAAATTTATCTAAAAAATATATCAAATTTTATTAAAATTTTTTCAAAACTTGTTCACTTGATCTATATAATGAAACTTTTTACCTATTAGTTTTGCTTTTCGATTTTAGTTTTTATTTAATTATTTTTAGTAGGATATTTCATGAACTTCATTTAAAAAACTTCATTCAAATATTTCCTCACTACAATAACAATGGTTGGTAGCCATACCTTAAAACACGTAATATAATACCTTGGAATTTCCGTGATGCTACTCTTGCAAGGTGGGCCTAACAATTTAGATGGACCACAAGGTGCATAAATTAAAATAAAATAGCAATGTGATGATTTATGATGCACTGATAATATATAGTATTTGAATACTAATAATATATCTAATATAAATCCTTTCGCAATAAAAGTTTCCAGAACAAATTCTTGCAATGATAAGCTTCTATTTTGTAACCTTATACAGTTGGTTTTCATCTCATTTGCAATATGGCAGAAAACTGATGCCTCCAAAGCTGTTTATGGTACCAAGTCTCTGACTGGAATATCAGGAAACAAACGTGAGTCTTTTAGTAGTGAATCTGCTCAATTTCAGGCTTTATAAGTTTATCCTTATCTGATATTGATACGTAATAAAAATACACAATTTGATGGCTGTTTTTCTCTTACTTTTTGTTAGGTGTGTTTCTCTATCATAACCTTTGTTAATGTCAAATGTCAATAGCGGTAGTTGTAATTATGATATCAATAATGATAATGCAAAAGCTGCAACTTCAGCCTGAAATAATAATTTATAGTTAGATGCTTAATTCCTTTTTCAAATGATTGTGAGAGTATGTTTTTCGTATCAGTTTGAATGCATTTAAAATTTTACTTTGAATGTAAATTTTTTAAGAATAAAAATTTATGTAACAAGAAAATAAGATTCCATCTTTATAACCAACGGAATTAACCTGTGTGAGTAATTAATTTTTAGTGATCTATACCTATCCGTATACCAAAATTTTTCATGCAAACTTATAAAGAAAAAAAAAAAAGGGAAGCAGATTATTAGTAAGATGGGAACATATTGGATATCAAAGGATTTAGGTGAAGTGATTGGCAAACTTGTTTTTTACGATTATCCTATATAACATTGATAACACTAAGTCTTCTATGATGAGTACAAAGTCTTTTTTTTTTTTACAAATACTTTATTAAATTGCTCTCAGATTGGTCTTTGGGGTTTATAATTTACTTTGATTATTGACTTATTTTTGGGCAATCAATGAGATTGATTGGAAATTGATGTATTCTCAGTAAGGGATTTACACTGACTTTCTCACCTCCCTAGTTCTTAGCCATTTGAGCACTTTCTTTTGTCTTTTCATTTTGATTGAATGATGGAATTATATTAAAATAAATTGCATCATTAGTTTTAATCAGTCTTTTGTAATGTTTCATTTTCATATGTGACCTAAAAAACTTGATTTACATAACATATCATTTTTGCTTCAATCAGTTTTGTGATTCCATTCTTCAGCTATCTATAACATATACTAAAAATATTTAATAGCAAAAAAAATCAATTTTATCTCTCAAAAATATTGGTCCAAAGCTAATCTAATTGTTGATATTTAAATTTTAGAAATATATTTATATTAAACTTTCAAGTGTTCATATTTAAAAAAAAAACATCTAAGTTGATGGAATTGATTGGCTTTTTAACGAGGATATATGTTCATTAATAATATTCTTCGATTTTAAAAAGAATTACCATAAAAAATCATGAGCTTTTTTGGCATACCAAGAATAGAACCTAGAGCAATTAGACGATAGGTATGTATAGATAATAATAATTATTAGTATAATGTTGTAATAAACCCTATCTTAATTCTCTAACAGTGTTTTAAAATTGAATAATAGTAAATAAAATAATATTTGTAGAGTTCAATTCTCAAATTTGAAGCTTAGATAGTTAATTCAATCAATTTTAAAAAATGACATCTAAAAATTTTAAGATTTAAATTTCAGTATCTGTAATTTTTTTATTTATTTGTAATCTCCTTTAAATAAAGAAAATTGAAAACTGGAAATTTAAATTTGAAGTGAAATGAACCAAGTTAAATGGACTTTCATTCAACAACCAAATTAGTAAAGAATAACAATACTGCCAAAAAAATATGAAACTTAATTATTTATTATAAGAACTAAATTGTTGCTGAACCGTCAGATTAAGATGCATGAATAATCATTTCAATTTTAACCATTGGATAGTATATGGTGCGACAAGCGTCACCTATTTATTTTAATTTAATTGTTGAGTTTTTTACTTTTAGTTCATTTTCATCTTAATCGTTGTTGTTAGTTTGGCTTGTCGTTTTCGTGGTTCGCTTATGAGGAGAAAGTCACACTTGATAATTTTAAAAAGGTTAATCCTCTGTTTCAGTGATTAATTCATGCTTTTTTGTTTAAATAAAAAGATAATTTTATATAATATTGTTGAAAATAAAATAAAAAATAGTAAACTATATATTTGTTAGAAATATAATGCATATGCGAATAGTGATCATGACTACATTAAAAAATAGGAAAAGAGTTACATGAAATTTTATATGCGAAGTTCATGAAGTTTTTTATTAAAAATGAGTAAACAAAATTAAAATTAAGAATCAAAATCGATAAATTAAAAAATCTTATCACATAGGTCAAACATGCAAAATTTGAAAAAAAAATAATAAATTTTGATATATTTATTAAATAATCAATTTTAATAAAATTATTGATAAAATTTTTATCATTGAATAAGTATTGATTAAATTTAAATTATAAATAATATTTTTAATATTTTATATATATATTATTGATTTTTACATTAAACTCTATTAATCTATTAATTTAAATTTTTATTAAAATTTTTATTAAATCATTTTAAAATTTCACAAACTTCACTATGTAAATTTATTTAAGTTTTTGTCCTAAAAATAATAGATGGAAAATTGATTGAAAAGAGCCCAATCCACTAAGATGAAAGAAACATTAATGATCGTTTCAACAGTTGAACAAAACAATGGAAACTGTACAGCCCTATGTTTAAGCCTGTGAAATTTGAGAATTTTTAGCATTGCTCTTAACATTCGCCCCTTGATTTTAACAAAAGAAATTCTGCCATTGTGGTCATGTTAGTTTGGCATATACCAGGCTGAGAATTCTTCAGATTTTCTGTGATATGGGTACATTTATAGCCACTTCATTTGAGAGAAGATCATTTAGTAAGCCCATCAAGTCCAATAATCACCATCAACCTGAAAAATAAGGTGGGATATATAAGATTTCTCAAGAAATGCATTCAAGATGATTAGAAACAATTACGTACCCCTTAAAAGCTCCTTCTACATTCAGAGTGATAGTCCATCAAACATATTTGTGATCAATTAAAAGGAGAAATGAATTATTGTTGTTGGTGGCCTAAAGTAATTAGATGATATTATAGCATGCTATCAAATCCTGATTTCTATAAATATGGATCACTCAGCTAATTGCACCCACCTAAAAGTTCCAATTACTCACCTTCCTATAAGTTTAAAAACCTTTTAGATTCAAAGATTGCAAGACCTGATTTACACTACTGATATATCAAAGAAGCTGATTTAATAAGAAATGGGAAATCAAATGCTTACCTGATTCTGAATCTGTAGCCAAGCTACATAGCAATTTCGTACGTTGTAGTCGTGGTCGTTGTCATCGTGAGGCCTTGTTGCCAAGTTCAGAGAGGCAATACGAGTGAACCCCGATCGAGTTCACGAAATGCGGGCTTGTTAACATCGTAACTCAGTGAGTCAAGGAGTTGCTCGGCGAGTTTCTCTAACCCCCTAACTCCGTTACAGCATTCCAAGATGCGACGTTTCGCTTCCTTTTCTTCCACCAAAAAAGCTAGGAAACGAAAGCCTTTTGCAGCCATTATATTACTCGAAATGAACTGTTTAATGAGGTAAAATAGTAGAGAGCGTAAAAGTTACAAGTACAATGTCACATGTCATCAAATTCACATGTTCCGAAAATTAAGAACATCCAGCAGCATCCCTATCTTCTGAGAATCAAATCTTCCTATTACAATCACCAATGCTATCAGTCAGAATCTGCCCTCTCCATCTGTGAATTTGATGATTTTGTGACAAGTCCCTTTAACTTTCCCTAGCTGTTTTACCTATCTTCTTTCTCCATTTAACAACATCAGGCAAAAGGATATGATAGATCCATAAAAATGTTTTCCATGCTGCCAATCTCGTGCTTCAAGTGGTGAGTGGTAGATATTGGATTTACAAAGCTAGAAAGCCGGCCAAAAAACATAAGGATAAGGCAAGACTACAAAACATCGAGCCTCATTTGTTCATTGGACATCTTTAAGTTTGCGAGAATGATCCTCTTCATCAGGAGGCTTACAAAATGCCTCTTGAAACATGCAGTACTAGCTTCATGATCACGATAATAGAGCCTTGATTTGTCATAGCCATTTAAGTTCTCCCATATTTTCATTTGGAGAGAGCATTAACCTCATATAAAAACTTTACTAGGAAAAGCGAGTAAAAATAATTGAGAGAAAGACATTTCTATTTCATTACCTCTTAGTTTAGCCGATACTTCACATCACTGTCTTTTGTTTTCTCTTTTCGCAGCCTCATTCAGTTAATCTCTACGACCTCTTGCTCTTCGTTGATGTGAAGCTTCTGATAGGTCCCCTTGACTCAAATGGTGCATACTGCTGAAAGTTCCTTGGATCAGCATGTATAACTTGGTCATACAGTCCCATATGTGAGGATAAATAGGAACTTGTAGCTTCTGATGTAGTATCCACCATATTCCCAATGCCAAATCTTCTTTGCATTTTGCAGATTGACAAATTCTAGTTGATCTGGACAATTAAATGATATAATAATATTAACCGCAAAGATGTGAATAATTAAACCGTAGGTTATGAATCATAATACAAAATGACAAGGAAAACATTCCACTCAACTAATGGGGTACGAAATCATAATAAAATCTTGTTTGAAGAACATAAAAAAGCAGATTAGTCAACTTTATCCAAAACAGAGGCAAAGGGGAACAGGGACACTAGATTGAGCCTCCCATCAAGAATCTTCAATGAATCCCGGATGAAGAATTGACAATCACAACTAAAATAAGGCTGAACATTTCACTTGGCTTAGATCATTGATAGGACGAGGCAAATACAATCTGGGAATTTTGGTGTTGTCTAATTTTATTCATAACTATTGCAAACATGTCTTTTACATCTTGCAAGAAATCAATTTGTATATCTGGCCGCTGGTAACCTATCCTGCCCTAACCTTTCACAACCAAAATGATGACAGTAACCTTAATTACTTATCCATAAGGAGTGGTTGGCCTGAGAATTTAACCTCAAGATATCAAAGGCAACAACAATTGGACCATTAATTCCGACATTTATAGTGTAAGCAAACTAATTGTTTACTAAATTTCAATAATCAAATTGAGTAAAGATAGATACCTTGTTCTTAGCTTGGCGCTGCAATTGCTTTAACTCATTTTCTAA